GTGGCTCACAACCATCTGTAATGAGGTCTAGTGCTCTCTTCTGGCCAGCAGGCATACACACAGACAGAATATTGTATACATAATAAATAAATTTAAAAAATAAGAGTTTGACCAAGGGAATGACTGCCTTTAGGATACTTGGTCTAGGGAGGGTTCACTGCCTGAATAACAGAATGTTCTTCTCAATGATTGAGGACTTGATGGCTCAAAGTATTGAAGCAAGTAACTGTTCTAGTTGTCTTTTGCATTGTGTTAAAGCAGTCTTTTGTTCTTTCCCCTTATGTATTGGGGCAGGAGAGAGGGCTCGGTGATTAAGAGCACTACCAGCTCATCTGAAGGTCCTGAGTTCAATTCCCAGCAACCACATGGTGGGTTACATCCATCTGTAATGAGATCTGGTGCCTTTTTCTGGCCTGCAGGCATGCGTGTAGGCAGAATACTATATGCACAATAAATAAATCTTTTTTTAAAAAGTATATGAAAAATTATACACAGGCAGATTTACAGAATTCACTTGAACTCCCTCCTGGTATTATCCTATGCTTCTGTTTTATTATTTTCATTCTTATCCCCATGCCCCCACCCTGGAAAGTGGTAAACTTGTCAAAAATGCTCCCTGCAATATGACTATTGGGAAGTCCAGCTATACACAAGGCTGTGTTCCAGTCCGAATTGTTCCCCTAAAAATGTAGCCATACTATTACCCTATAAAATAAAGCCATCACAGCTGGGACATGCTTCACTCTGCTAAGAGAGCTTCAAAGCAGAGACATCCATTGCTGTTCCGTTCCACTTCCCTAAGAGAGTTTCCTAGCAGAGTTGTCCAGTTGCTTCTCTGTTCCATGTGATTAGGGAGTTTCCTAAAAGCGATGTCAATTTTTTTCTCAGCTTCAGCCCAATTTGTTTCTTCGCAGCTTCACTGGAGTTGATGGGAAACTGTTGCAGAAATGTTGCAGTCTCTGGTGAAGAGTTGCTACTTCTGCTCTGCTCCTTTAAGGGGTTTGCCAGCAGAGGTGACCAAAACTTCTCTGTTCAAATACACTACAAAGTTTCTGATCGCTCCAGAGAAAGGTCTTCACCCAAAACTCATTCAAGAAATTTATTTGGAAGTGAAGAATCAGGAGAAGGACTGCCTCTGACAGGGCAGAAATGGGCAGATGCCAACTGAACACGTAAAGAACTTATACAGGAATGCTTAGGGGCAGAGATTTCCCAGGGAGAAGATTCTCAGGGTGGGAATTGTTTAGATGTCAATCCCTGACCTTGAACACAGCAGAGGTTGGCTGGATTTCATGCTCAGGTGTTGGTAGATCTGAAGCTTAGGGATTAGCTGGTTTAGTGCTCAGGTGGTCAAGGGTAAAATTATTTTTGGATCTTGTTTCAGGGCCAAAGTGTGTTCTTTCACTGGCCCCTTATAACCTTTTGAGACTGGTTTCAGGGTCAGGTGTTTCTTTTATTGGCTCTGGATTCAGGAACAAAGTGTTTCTTTGTCTTGGTCTTAGAGTCAGGATGTATTTCTTTGGCTATAGTTTCAGAGTCAAACTTATATATTTCACTGGCTCTGCTTTCAGGGTCAGGATGTCTTTCTTGGGCTGGCCCATTTACCCTATACATAGGGCTTGATAAATTTATAAATTCATTTTACCATGAGTTTGTAAGTACAAATAGTATAAAAAAGACATCATAATGCTAGAAAAGATTGTTAACACTGTCAAATTTATTTCTACAGAACAAATAGTCTTGTGTTGTAGGCAGAAGATTCTTGTTCATTCCTGGCTGAAAAGATTCAAAATAATCACACAGAAACTATACTAATTAACAGGACTTGGACTATTGGCTTAGGATTCTTATTAACTAATACTGACATCTTAAATTACCCCATTCCTATTATTTTGTATTTTATCACAAGACTTGTGATTTACCAGTAAGGTTCCAGGGCATCTGTTTTCTTCAGCAGATACATGGAGTCTGACTCCAATTTCTTTTCTCCTCTATCTCTGCTTGGAATTCCTGCCTTGCTCTATTCTGCCCTGGTATAGGACCAAAGCAGCTTCTTTATTAAACAATGGTAAAAAATATATTCACAGCATACAGAAGGGAAACTCAAATCACTGTGTAGGTGATTTTAAGTGTTTTGACTGAAGATCTTACCAAATACTTTATAATAAGAAGTCCTCAGTATCTTTTTCAGGTAGTCATTGTCTATTGTAATATACAAAGATTTTAACAGATTGTTGCACACAAAAAGTTTTATTCCTATATAAAGTACAAAACTTTATCATACTGAATACATTCAAACGGTTTCTATGCAGTATGATTTTTCTCATGACTTAGATTATTCATACATGCAAATGCTTTACCATACTGATGACATTCATAGAGTTTATCTTCACTGTGTGATATTTTATGCACTTGATGAGTCCTGTGAAGTGCAAAGGCTTTACTGCACTCATTACATTCATAGAATATCTCCAGCATGTGTTAGTTCATGTCTTTAAAGCCTTTAGCACAATAATTACATACATAATGTTTCTATCCAGTATGGGTTCTCCTATGTTTTCAGAGATCACTATACATGCAAAGGCTTTACCACATTGATTATATTCATAGGGTTTCTCTTCAGTATGTGTTCTTTCATGTGTTTGGAGACTACTGTGACAAACAAAGGCTTTACCACACTGATTACTTTTATAGGGTTTTCTCTCCAACATGGCTGCTTTCATGACTTTGTAGATGAATGTGCTTTGCAAAGGCATCACCACACTGATTACATTCATAGGGTTTCTTTACGGTATGGGTTCGTTTATGTTTTTGGAAACTACTGGGATATGCAAAGGCTTTGCCACATTGATTACATTCATAAAGTTTTTCTCCAGTATGGGTTCTTTTATGCTTTCGGAGAGTACTGGGATATGCAAAGGCTTTGCCACACTGATTACATTCAAAGGGTTTCTCTCCAGTATGGGTTCTTTCATGATCTTGGAGACTACCGGAATATGTGAAAGCTTTACCACACTGATTACATTCATAGGGTTTCTCTCCAGTATGGCTTCTTTCATGATATTGGAGACTACTGGATCTTGCAAAAGCTTTACCACACTGATTACATTTATAGGGTTTCTCTCCAGTATGGGTTATTTTATGCTTTCGGAGAGTACTGTGATCTGCAAAGGCTTTACCACACTGATTACATTCATAGGGTTTCTCTCCAGTATGGCTTCTTTCATGAGTTTGAAGATAAATGTGCTGTGCGAAGGCTTTACCACACTGATTACATTCATAGGGTTTCTCTCCAGTATGGGTTCGTTTATGATTTTGAAGATGAATGTGCTGTGCGAAGGCTTTTCCACACTGATTGCATTCATAGGGTTTCTCTCCAGTATGGCTTCTTTCATGATATTGGATACTATTGGAATATGTGAAAGCTTTACCACACTGATTACATTTATAGGGTTTCTCTCCAGTATGGCTTCTTTTATGTCTTTGGAGACTACTTTGATCAGCAAAGGCTTTGCCACACTGATTACATTCATAGGGTTTCTCTCCAGTATGGCTTTTTTCATGAGTTTGAAGATGAATGTGCTGTGTGAAGGCTTTACCACACTGATTACATTCATACAGTTTTTCTCCAGTATGGGTTCTTTTATGCTTTCGGAGAGTATTGGGATGTACAAAGGCTTTGCCACACTGATTACATTTATAGGGTTTCTCTCCAGTATGGGTTATTTTATGCTTTTGGAGATTACTGTGATCTGCAAAGGCTTTATCACACTGATTACATTCATAGGGTTTCTCTCCAGTATGGCTTCTTTCATGAGTTTGAAGATGGTCTTGCCGTGCGAAGGCTTTACCACACTGATTACATTCATAGGGCTTCTCTCCAGTATGGCTTCTTTTATGCATTTGAAGAGTATGGTGACGTGTAAAGGTTTTCCAACACTTATTACATTCATAGGGTTTCTCTCTGGTGTATGATCTTTTATGCATTTGAAGATGACTGTGATGTGATAAGGCTTTACCACACTCATTTTCTTCATAGGGTTTCAATCTAGTGTGTGTTTTTTCATGCCTGTGAAGACAACATGCAAAGGTTTTAAGACACTGAGTACATGCAGAAATTTTGACTTTTTTCATGCCTACAATGATAATGGTACATGTAAAAGCATTACTACATTTAATACATTGTTGAATATTTTTATCTGTATAAATTAATTTTACAATGTAGTCTATCTTAAAGAAGAATTATATGTTAAAGTATTATCACCATGTTTACAATCTTGTTTTTCCCCTTCTTTAAGGCTTGCTTTTCATCTTTGAGGATAACTGATAACAGCCTTTATTACATGGTTCACATTTCCAGAATCTTTTTTTCTGTATGAGAATTTTCACATATTTGAAAAGAACTGAAAAAACTCAGAGCTTTACTACTCTTCCTGCATTCTTAATGTTTCCTATACTGTGAGTGAAATTACATTTGCTAAGTGTACTAGGACAAACAGAAGTTTTTACACAGTCCTAGTACTCATGGTGCTTTTCTGAAATGTGAGCTTATTGATATATTAACAATGAGACTAGAAAAACAATGACTTGAATACCTGTACATCAAATTCAACCAGTATACTCAACATGGGGACTGCTATATATCTTCCATTTGTTCTAAGAGAGAGGTATGTTATATTTTTTCAGTTCACTATGCTCATGTGGCTTGTATCCAGAGGAACATATGATATACTTAATAAAGGAAGAATAACAAATATCAACCTTCCACACTGAGTTCACAGTTTGACTTTCTGTCCTCATAGACTTGTGGTATCTGGATTAAGGCCTCTCCACGACAGCTGCCCCTTGATTTGTGACTCTAACTTCCCCCTCACTAAACTTAACACAGTCACAAGTATATGGGATAAAGTACCTTTTCTATGGAATATTAATGTAATAGAGAGTTTCAGAGATATACTTATCATGTTTTCAACATGTATCTTTTATAATATGAATAATATGAAATAAATGCACTGACAATTTTACAGTGTACCTCTCATTGTATTATGATTGAAATGGAAATATAGGTTAAGGCATCATTTCCTTATTTCTTTCTTAAAAGAATGACTTGCAAATGCAGTTCACCTATCTGAAATTAAGGTACATGATTTTGTGAGAACATTAATAATCATCAATGCACTTTATTACATGGTTGTTTTAGTTGAAAATATATAGGATACATTATAAATTCTTCAGGGGTAGATTTGTATGAGCTTATACATGGAAATTACCTTTTATGTTTTCTAGAACTTTGACAATGTTCTTCAATATTCTGGTCTTCCCAATTATATCCTAAAATATAGTGACAGAAAAATGTATGATATATATTTAAATTGTAAAAAATTTAGTTACCATATAAGCAAAACTTAAAACCATGCCTGATTTCTTTACCCATTCTTCTTTCTCAATCATATTACAAAACAGCATCATTAACCAATCAACACTTGTCCCCTTATTTGAAACATGAATGATAATTTATTCTTACCTATAGTAGTGAGGTTTCTGTAGGTCTCTACCATCACATCTTTGTAGAGACTCTTCTGGGAAGGATTCAGCAAAGTCCATTCTTCCCAAGTAAAGTCAACATGCACGTCATCATAGGTCACTGCATTCTAAAATATCCCATACATGTGTACAATATAAAGTATGATTTAACAACACTGTAAATGTGTACTTCTTAGAGTATAGTCATATAATTTTGGTGCTCCCCATACTTATTCCATGACATAGACATCATAATTTAATCACCAAGTCACTTTAGAAGCAAACTGATCCCGAAGGTCACCATTGTCATTTCTGAACCATTTGACTGGGATATCACCTTTCAAAAGAAATGCCTACTACCCAACAATGAAAGATACATAAACAGATCAACAGTACAGAGTACAGATAAGAGATATTGTATGAATGATTAATTTCTGACTACAAAAAAAGAAACATAAGATGAAAAAGCTGGATGCATTGAATCATTCCTCTAAGCCTCGTACTCAGAAGGCCGAGGCATGAATATTTATCTGCCTCTGAGTTGAATACCAGCGTATTCTATGCAATCACTTTTAGGGCAGCCAAAAATACATGTTAAATACCTCTTTCACATGATAAAAGTCAATCAAACAAACATAAAAGTTAGGAATAACTCACAGGTTTTTGCTGAAGTTTCTACAAAAGTTGGGCATTCACATCAACTCTTTATTCATTACCAGAAACCTGAAGTGCCCCAATTTAAACTGCAACATAAATAAGTTTTGACTAAAAGGCACTGTGTATTTAAAAAGTTATAAATAGACAAATGAAAACAATAGCAATTAATATGCTGATTACAAATAATCAACACAGAGCAGGAAAGATGGCTCAACAGTAAAAAGTCCTCCTGGTCTTGCGTACCAATGCCTTCCATGGGGGATAATAACTATTCATTATTCCAAGTTCAATGTTTCTAGTACCATCTTTTGATCAATGTAAGGAAGGACCAGGTACTCACATGGTGCATAACCATGATACATGTAAAATACCCTTTTTAAGATAAAAATTCAAAACAAACAAAACAGACAGAAAGAAGGTTATGCACCTGCAATCCAATGACTCAGAAGGCACAGGTAGTATTAATGTCATGAACACATGCCATCCAGGGAAACATAATGATACCCTGTGTAAAATTTAAAATTTATGATATGGGTGAAGTTCACTACAATAGCGTATGCTTGATAAAAACAATATAAAAACAAAAAAGTCAGGAATGCTGGCCCACCTTTAATCTCAGCACTATGGAGTCAGAGTTAAGAGGTACTCTGAGTTTGAAGCCAAACTGGTATATAGAGCTACTTTCAGGACAGCTAGGACTATACAGACAAACCATGTCTTCAAAAATAAATCAACAAAAATAAAAACAGTAGGCTACCAAACCACCTTAGCACCAAACAGCAGCTAGTTCTACTAAACCTTATGTGATTTACTGATAGAGATTATGATGGTGGGGAAGTAATGATAGAAAGCTGACTGATTAGTGTCAACCACAACACAGCAGGCACAAAGAACAGAAAATGGGTTGAGGCTATAGAAACTCATATTGTGGGAATCCAATCTGTATGCTGTGATTATCATTGGTTAATAAAGAAACTGCTTTGGGCCATAACAGAGCTATAGGACAACACTTAGGTGGGTTGGGAAAACTAAGCTGAATGCTGGGAGAAAGAAGGAGGAGTCAGAGAGAAGTCACGTAGCCCTGCAGAAGACAGATGCTGAGAACTTTATCATGTAAGTTATACCCACATTGCAATACACAGATTAATAAAAATTTATTAAATTGATATGTAAGAGTTAGCCAATAAGTTGCTAGAGCTAATGAATTAATACAGATTCTGTGTGATTGTTTTCGGGCTCAGCAGCTGGGAACTAACAAGCAGTTTCCCATAATAAACATGACTATGCAGCCAACTAAAATCCACTTCCAATCTTAGAGAGCTTGGAAAGGAATTCTAGACACTAAAAAATGAAGTTTAGCTACATTTCTCTCCCCAAATGGGCCTTGCTTACTGGTGACATGCTTTGGCACCTTTAAGATAGGTTTTCCTGATTTAGAGGTAGCAGAAAAAAAAAAAAGAGCTGCACCATTTTGAAATGCCGGCATTCTGGGCCTTGCTGCCAGCACAAACTCTGACTCTTTCTGGAGGACCAGTTATGGGGTCTGTGAGAGGATTGCTAATGGCAACTTAGTCTCTGTGAATGCCTGAAAATGGGGCAATGTACATGGCTCTTGGAGGCAGCAAATGTGCCTCTGCCATCTTGGACTGTGGTGGAGCAAGCAGGCAGGACATATTTTCTCTACGCATGGCACAGCTTAAGTTCATAAGAAGTGCTTAGCATTTTAAGAAATACACCCCTGAACAGGAAAGAATTACAGAAACACAATAGTACAATTTCATACATAAAAGACCTCTAAATGAGACAGAGTGTGTTTAAAAAATGTACATAGAGGTGGGAGAGAAAAAGAAAATAATACAGAGTTATAAAAAGATGTAAATGGCTTATAAAAATGAAACGAAGTCTTTAAAGAGACAGAGAACAGACAGTCATAAATTAAAAGAGGAAAGACAATAAAATAAATATTAAAAAGTAATAGAATAAAAACAACTAACCCACATAAAGATGGACTGTATACAGAGTGTCTGGATTATGTATATTATTTTGTTTTCTTTGAATTTTTGAATGAGGAAATAAAAACATTTTCAAACCAAATGCAGAATAATAATTTTTTTAAAAAAACAGCATATGATTTGTATTACACACGTAAAGCAACTTGTTTTGCTCTAATTGATTTATGAATTACAAGGATTTTGGAAAAGAAGTTTATCCCCACATTTTGTATATGTTTATGTGTGAGAAAGAATGTCTCCCATGTGTATACAGGTGACATATAAGAAAAGAGGATGTCAGATCCCCTGAATCTGGAGTACAAGGTGGTTCAGAGCCTCCCAACTTGGACATTCGGATACGAAAAGGCCTAATAATTTCGAGTCACTAAAAACTCTTAAAATATAGACTGGCATGAGCTGAGCAACACTCCAGCTATATCACTCTGGTTATCTATGGGGAAAATGCTTTGTGAATTTGTAAAGCTACTATTAAAATCAAAATAGCAGTTCCTCAGAAAATTGGGAATAGATCTACCGCAGGATATTGTTGTACCAGTCTTGGAAAAATACACCCACAGATGATCCATCCTATAGTTCTTTTTTTACTCTTTGGCTCTTTTGGAAGCCCACCATCCAGTTCCCAAATAAATCACATGGAGTATTATTCTTACCTATGAATGCCCAGCCTTAGCTTGGTTCTTCTTAGCTTTACTTAATTTAAATTATTCTATCTACTTTTTGCCTTTGGGGTTTTATCTTTATTCTATATACCTTTCTTTACTTCCTACTCTGTGGCTAATTGTGAAGCGGGGTGGCTAGTCCCTGACATTATCCTCTTTCACTTCTTGGTCCTCAATCCTTCTCTCTTTCTCCTTTTATTTATTCTCTCTGCCTGGCATCCCAACCAATCCCTCTCCTGCCTAGCTATTGGCCATTCAGATCTCTATTAGACCAATCAGGTGTTTTAAGCAGGCCAAGTAACACAGCTACACAGAGTTAAAAAATGCAATATAAGATTGGGGTGAGTTTTGGACCCATGTCAGCAGCCTGGGACAGAGAACTCAGAAGTTCCTCATCCTCCCTATACTTCCTGGGCTTTGTGCTGGGCCAATACTCCCAGTATACTGCCTCTCTCTTCCTGTCCCACCAAGCTTGCATCCAGAACCCTACCTGCTTCTGCCTGCCTTCCCCCTTCGGGGTGCTGGGGCCAAATCTCGAGGGCAACCTAGTGGGCGGGAGCTCCTTTGTTTCAATAGCCTGCCTGCAGCAAGCAAGGTAGGCGCTTTGTTTACGAGCTACCCAACCAGCAAGGAGATCTGATCTCGGCACCAGGAGAGACATCACTCGATCACCAGGAGAGCCATTACTGGGGAGTGCCATCACTGGGAAGGTACATCAGTAGGCAAGGAGACCTGATAATGTAAAAGAAGATCCATAGGGAATCATTCGGAGGAAGTGATGGGCAGGCGCCAATGCAAGAATTCACCCAACAATCTGAAAAACAACATGAAACCACCAGAACCCAGAGACCTCACAACAGGAGGACATGAACACCTTAATCAAGAAGAAGTAGAAAACACTGACTTTATGAAAGTGATTGATGCCCTTAAACAGCATGTAAAAAATGTCCTTATAGAAATGGATGAGAAGTATACCAGAAAGTTTGAAGAATTGAATAAATCAGTGAATGATACCCTAGGAAACCAAGGAAAAACAATCAGATAATGGAAACAGTTCAAGACTTGAAAACTGAAATGGAGGCAAAGAAGAAAACACAAACAGAGGGCCGGCTGGACATTAATAATCTAGGTAAACGAATAGAGACTACGGAAACAAGCATAACCAGCAGAATACAAGAGATAGAAGAAAGAATCTCAGATTCTGAAGATAACATAGAGAAAATAAACGCTCTGATCAAAGAAAAGAGCAAGTCCAACAAACTCTCATCACAAAACCTTCAGGAAATATGGGACAAAATAAAAAGACCAAATCTAAGAATAATGGGAGTAGAAGAAGGAGAAGAAGTGCACCTCAACAGTCCAGAAAATATATTTAATAAAATGATAGAAGAAAACTTTCCCAACCTAAAGAAAGATGTACCTATGAAGGTTCAAGAAGCATACAGAACACCGAATATGCTGGATCAAAAAAAAAAAATCCCCCGGGCTGGAGAGATGGCTCAGTGGTTAAGAGCGTTGCCTGCTCTTCCAAAGGTCCTGAGTTCAATTCCCAGCAACCACATGGTGGCTCACAGCCATCTGTAAAGAGGTCTGGCGCCCTCTTCTGGTCTTTGGGCATGCACACAGAATATTGTATACATAATAAATAAATATTTAAAATAAATAAAAAAATTTTATCTCCTGAATTTCTCACATTTTAAATATTCACTTTTGTTTGTTTTAATCATATGCACCTGTGTGACTGACTGCGTGGGCGTGTGTAAGTAAGTACGGATGCCTGTGGAAGTCAGAAGAGGACAT